TGTCCACCTGCTGGCTTAGGCCCACTCCCTGGGGGATCGGGCCCAAGCTGGCAGTCAGACATCCCTCTGGCAGACCAGCAGCTCTCGGGGGGATGTCCTCCTGCCAGCGGGGAGCAGGCCTAAGCTGCAGTTGGACATCCTTAGTGCTTCTGAGAAGGCGGGAGAGGTTCCCACCTCCGCTGTACTGGCAGCCATCATCCTGGCTTGTGGCTGAGCAGAGTTCCCCCTGTGGGAGCATGCAGACCACCAGGGGGCAGCTCCTGCACTGAGCGTCTGCCCCCTGGTGGTCATTGTGTGTCATAGTGACCAGTCATTCACAGTCATTCTGCTGTTAGGGTCAGTTTTCATATTACCCTTTCATTATATAGGATAGAGGCCTGGCGCATGGTGGGGAGCGGGGGTTTGACCTGAAGGATATCCTGGATCAGGGTGGGGGTCCCGCTGGGGTGCCTGGCCAGCCTGAGTGAGGGGCTAATGGCTGTTTGCAGCTGGTCACACCCCCTTCAGGGTGGGGGTCCCTACTGGGGTGCCTGGCCAGCCTGGGTGAGGGGCTGATGGCTGTTTGCAGGCTGATCAAGCCCCCCCCCCCCACAGTGGGGACCATCACCCTATGGAGGTTTGGCTAGCCTGGGTGAGGGGCTGATGGCTGTTTTCACGCTGACCACACCTTCTTTAGGGTGGGGGGTCCCACTGGGGTGCCTGGCCAGTCTGGTAGAGGGGCTGAGGGCCGTTTTCAGGCAGGCCTCGCCCCGCAAGGGAAGCTCCCAGCCTCTCCTTTTTTTCTTTTTTCTTTTTTTTTTACTCTGGGATTTATTTACCTTCTATAATTGAAACTTTGTAGCTTTGAGAGGAGCTCAGAGCCGGCCAGGGCGGCTGGGAGGGAAGACTCCTGCTCGCTCCACGGCCAGCTGAAAGCAGGTATCTGGGGTTTATTGACCTTCTATAATTGAAATTTTGTTGCTTTGAGTGGAGCTCAGAGCTGGCCGCTGCAGAGGGGAAGCTTGGCTTCCTCCATCATTGGGGCAATCAAGCCTCCTGCTCACTCCAGCTCCATGGATGCCGGCCGCCATCTTGATTGGGTTAATTTGCATATAGTCACTCTGATTGGATGGTGGGCGTGGCTTAAGGTGTAGCAAAGGTCTGATCAATTAGCATATTTGTCTTTATTAGTGTGGATTATTATTATAGATATGGTCTTTAAAGAGGTAGTTAAGATACAACAAGGTCACTGTGTGGGACTTCATCCAATCAGACTGCTGTCCTTATAAGATGGGATCAGGACACAGACACAGAGGAGCAATCATGTGAGGACACAGGGAGAAGACAGCATCTTCATGCTGAAGAAAGAGGCCTCAGGAGAAACAAGCCCTGCCCACACCCTGACATCAGGACACAAAGGGGCATCTCTTATCTCCCCTTACAGGCTTCTCCAACAGCAAAGAGTAGATCAGATGGTTCAGCAATGGAAGGGCCGGTGTTCACTCACTCATTCCAGTGTCACTAGGTGAACACTCTATACTTTGCCTTTTGCGAAGCAGACTCTTCTGTAGGTCCTTAGAAGGTAAAAAGTACAGAAGGTAGATATTCTCCTCCACTAATGACTCTTATGCAGTTAGACTCTGCCGAGTTGAGAAAGTACTTTCTGCTATTTCTGTGCACGCACCCTCCCTCACCCCCAGCAAATTTTGATCGTTTGCCTATTTAAGTCTAAACACAACGACTAGCAATGGTCCTAGTGCCTATGCCAGCAATGCTCCCGGCCCTGGCCACCCTTAGGGCAGCAGAAGGAGGCAAAATGCTGGTTACTAGCCCCCGTCCTCAGAGCTCCACTTAAGGACAGCAGGGTCTGGACATCAAGACTCTAAAGAGACTAAACCAAGATGGCGGCATAAGTAAACACCAGAAATTGCTGCCTCGTACACCACTTCAAAAATACAACTAAAACAAAACGGACATCATCCAGAACTACAGGAAGGCTGGCTGAGTGGAAATTCTACCACTAGAAGGAAAGAGAAAAGCACACTGAGACTCAGAGGAGCTGCAGAAGTAAAGTGCAGAGGTAGGGAGGTGCATGCGGAAAGGGCTGGCAACTGAGAACACGGTTGTCTTTTTCAATCGGGAGGGAGTTTCAAGCTCCTGACTGCTCTGAACTCCAGTTCTGGGTGAGTCTCTGGGGACCCAGACTCATAGGGGAGAAATTGGACTGTCTGACATCAGTCGGAACTTGAGAGTGCCTTTCTCTCAGAGGTGCTTGCAGTGATTACTGGGACACTGAGACGCGGGGCCTCTTAGGGTAGGACTGAGGAGTAGCCATAGTTGTTTGCTCTGCCCTGTTGATCCCCTGAGACCCCGCCCCACACAAGCTGTGCACAGAGGCTTTTGCATATGAAAGGCCTGGCCCTTTGCAATCTGAAAATTACCTAACAAACTGCAGCTGGGTCAGAGAGACCCAGAACTTCCAAAAGAAGGCCCAAGGCCCCACAGCAGCTTGCATTGCTTCAGAGCTGGGCCTCATCTGGGCACCTCCAAATCCCAAACAAAGAAGAGGAATCTGCAGATCTCTCTGTAGCTCCTGCTGGGTAGCCTCAAGCAGAGGCTAAATTAGCACCTCCTTAGAGATCCAAGAGCCCGTGTACCCAGTGGTCAGAGTGGGACCATCCAGATTACAACTCCTCAGATCCATAAGGGACACACTCAGGGGGCAGACTCCGTGAGCACCAAAGCCCCACTGAAGCATGTCTTGCCCCAGCAGGGTGTCTCCAGCACAGAAGTTCTCCCACTGCAGACACAGCTGATTCTCACAGACAATTGGCCTGGAGGTCAGTTCCTTTCAGTGATACCTACAACAATCAAGGCTTAACTACAACAAGACTGAGCACAAAGCCCACAAAGGGGTGCACCAAGAGTGTCCACCTCAGGTAATTGGAGAAGCTGAGCAACTGGGCCCTATAGGACACCTAGCACAGAAAGCCACTCTATCAACACAGGGAAGCATAAAAACTGCGGAGCCAAAGAAACAGCCACAAATGACAGAAATGGAGGAAAGCAAACTACTGGATATAAAGTTCAAAACCACACTTATAAGTTTTTCAAGATTTTCCAGAAACCGCCAATAAATTTAGTGAGACCCTCAAGAAATCTAGTGAGACCCTTGAGGTTATGAAAAAGGACCAACTAGAAATTAAGCATACACTGACTGAAGTAAAGGATATTATGTAGAGTTCCAACAGCAGATTAGAGGATCACAAGAATCAAGTCACAGATTTGAAATACGAAGAAGCAAAAAACACCCAACCAGAAAAACAAAAAGAAAAAAGAATCCAAAAAGATGAAGATAGTGTAAGGAGCCTCTGGGACAACTTCAAGTGTACCCACATCCGAATTATGGGGGTGCCAGAAGGAGAGAGAGAGCAAGATATTGAAAACCTATTTGAAGAATTAATGACAGAAAACTTCCCCTACCTGGTGAAAGAAATAGACTTACAAGTCCAGGAAGTGCGGAGAACTCCAAACAAAAGGAATCAAAAGAGGACCACTCCAAGACACATCATACTTGAAATGCCAAGAGCAAAAGACAGAGAGAATCTTAAAGCAGCAAGAGAAAAACATTCAGTTACCGAAAAAGGGAGTACCCATATGACTGCCAGCTGATTTCTCAACAGAAACTATGCAGGCCAGAAGGGAGTGGCAAGAAATATTCAAAGTGATGAATACCAAGAACCTACAACCAAGATTACTTTACCCAGCAAAGCTATCATTCAGAATTGAAGGTCAAATAAAGACCTTCACAGATAAGAAAAAGCTAAAGGAGTTCATCACAACCAAACCAGTATTATATGAAATGCTGAAAGGTATCCTTTTAGAAGAGGACGAAGAAGAAAAAGGTAAAGATACAAATTATGAACAACAAATACACATCTCTCAACAAGTGAATCTAAAAATCAAGTGAATAAATAATCTGATGAACAGAATAAACTGGTGAATATAATAGAATCAGGGGCATAGAAAGGGAGTGGACTGACTATTCTCATGGGGGAAAGGGGTGTGGGGGTATGGAAAGAGACTGGACAAAAATCGTACACATATGGATGAGGACAGGGGGGGGGGTAAGGGCAGAGGGTGGAGTGGGAACCGGGTGGAGGGGAGCTATGGGGTGAAAAAAGAGGAACAGCTCTAATAAACTAAACAATAAGGATTTAATTTAAAAAAAGACTCTAGAGACCCCCAAATGACCCCATAGGCTAGCGGCAGTGTTGAGAACTGCTGATCGTGGTCAGAAGAGAAAAAGCTCACTGAGGAACTTCACAACGATCAGATGAGAGTCAGTGCAGCATCTTGACAACACCACACCATCTTGCCACTTTAATTTTAAAATGTAGGGTATTGCCCCAGCAGGTTTGGCTCAGTGGATAGAACGTCGGCCTGCAGACAGAAGAGTCCACGGTTCGATTCTGGTCAAGAGCACATGCCCGGGTTTGGGCTTGATCGCCAGTAGGGGGCAAGAGCAGGAGGCAGCTGACCAGTGATTCTCTCTCATCATTGATGTTTCTCTCTATTTCCCTCTCCCTTCCTCTCTGAAATCAATAAATATATATTTTATATAAATAAATAAATAAACAAACAAATAAATGAATAAATAAAATGTAGGGTATTAGCCCTTTGGACTTTTGAGCTGAGTGTATTTTAGGTAAATGAATTAATAGGAGTTGAAGTGTCTCACACATAAGCACCAGCAGACACCAGCTACCATGGGGACTTCTCTCTTGCTCTAGATCTTAGAACCCAGGGTTCTGTGTGTGGGAGCTACTGACTCGGTGGTTCTGGCCTTCCCAAGGGGTAAGGATACTCACGTGCCTCTGTGGTTTGAAAAGCATGGACGAGCCGGGAGATGGTCCTTCCTAGATCCTCCTGTGCAGGAAACAGTCAAATAATCTCCTTCTGCCCCTAAAGAAATGCGGTTTCACAACAACAAGCAACACACTCAGCTGTCCACCCGACATGAGACAGGCTTCACTGGCTGCTTCATCCCAGTGTGCGTGAGGCCTGCAAGCTACATCCCTGATGCGAAGGGCTTCACTCTACAGCTGGGGCCAGCAGAACCTTGCAACAGGGCAGTCACTGCCCTCATGATCCGGCTGAGCCCTGAGCACAGAGGTTGGCCACCGAAGGAGAGAATAAGAGAGAGCAGCCAGAGCAGGGAGCTTCCTCACCGCCCGGTCCCGGGTCACCTGCTCGTGCCCCGCCAGGCGCTGCGCCAGCTGGATCTCAGGGGGAGGCTGCACCCGAGGAACAATGGCGATCGCCACTGAGAGCCCCAGGTACCAGGGACAGCGCCGCTGCGCTTCGCTGGGTCGCGCGGTGTGACATCACATGACCACACCAGCCTGGCCCCGGGCGCGCTCTCTGACGACCGGCGCCTGGGAGGACCTCTCCCCGGCCGCACGCCATCGCTCCGTATTGGCTGGACACCGCAATGACAGCTCTAGACAGTTGTAATTCAAAGGTCACTAAACGTGTGCCCGCCTTTTAGGGGGGCGGTAGTTTAACCTGGTTGATGACAGAAGTTCTTTAGCAAAGAAAGCCAGCGAGCACAGATAAAAGGAAATGGAAAGATTGGAGAAAACTCTGTGCAGCCCCCAGTGAATCTTTGATTCAGGGCGAAAGTCATCAGAAAATGGCACAAGGGCTAAAGAAAGGTGGTCCAAGCTATCAGTCCCCACCTCAAGGGACGGACACTGTAGGCGGGGGGCCCTCCCACCCAGCAGCCGCACCTGTGGGCAGTCTAACCTGACCCTCATCCAGCCTTCAGGGCTGCACCCCAGCTGTCAGGACACAGGAAGGCTGAGCAGGGTGCACAAGAAGACAATCACCACCCTAGTCTGGGACAGTTCACAAGACAATCATCCTGATATCTTCACAGAGTTAAAGTCATGGATGAAGGAAGGAATGAACGCCTATATAAAGGAGGGGATATACTCCTTTACATATTTGCATATACAAATCTTGATTGGATCCCGGTTCAAAGAAAAAGCTCTATGTCATTTGGGGGTCAATTGGGAAAGCTTGCATATGGACTGGATGTTGGATTATAGTGCAGAATAATTGTTTACTTTCTTAGGTGTGACAATGTAGTGCTTATGTTCATGCAGAATGGACTCAGCAGATTTTTTCTGTGAAGGGCCACGTGTCAGGAACCCCAAGCCTGTGGATCGACGAGGCTACGAGGATGGAGGGCTATAACTTATTATGGCAAAGGGACACAAAACAAATCAGCACAGGAAAAGGTCATACAGAGGGAGTCCAGGAGACACCAGGAGGAGGCCTCCAGAATCCTCTCCAGGTGGAGACACACAGGCCACACTTACCTCCCCAGCAAGGAGCTGTGACAACACCTGTAAGAGGTCGACTACCAGGAAGCAAAATGGAGAAACACCCACTTCCTTCACATTAGTGAGTACAGGATAGTTAACATTTACAATAAGTAGAGATTGTATGTGGGCATCAACATAACTGGTGCCAATGTGGTTATGCCTCCAAGGGGTTTGGAAAAGAAATTCACCCTGACTTATCAAAGGTATCTGATCCTAGATGCATAAGAACAATGGGCAGGGCTGCTTATGGGAAAGATTGGTCTTTCACTAAGGAAGCTATAGGCCAGGGGTGGGCAACCTTTTTGTGAGAGCATGCCACAACCGGCACAATCTCTGACTCAAAATTCTTCTGCGTGCCAACCCTAATTTTTTGAGAACATGCTACACTTCCTTGATATCTCTTAAGGTGTATGTATGTGAAGAACCTTGAAGAAATAATAAAATTAATTCGAGCGACACAAGCACAGTATATGATGATGAAAAATACATTTATTTTTTTAATGTATACATGTACACTGATAGTCCGGCAGAAAACTTTGACTCCGTTTGATATTATCAGTGGGACTTTTGCTGCTGCATCACTGATGACAGAGATTTTACATCAGGTTTATATTTCATGACCTTCAGAGATATGCACGAGCTACTACTTTCATCAGTCAGACTACTCGTATTATGAGACTTAACAAATTCATCACTGAGAACAAAGATTCACAAGCATATGTGGATGAAACCAAAACACTGGTCGAAACTAAGAAGGCAGGGAGAGTTAAGGCAGAGGCATATAAATTACTCTTCCCCTCTCTCGTCAATCCATGTCTATGGTCTTTAAGATAACTTGTTATGTAAAATTATTTATTTATCTAAGATGCACCTACACTAAATTTATCTGAAAAATAAAAAAGTCCATATTAAGAAAAAAATTGTTAGTGGAAGATTATAAGAGAGGGTTTCGCATGCCAGCAAAAGTTACTGTGGTGCCATGTTTGGCACACGTGCCTGGGGTTGCCCACCCCTGCAATAGGCCTAGGATGTGATTACCTGCATGACCTGCCCAGCTAGGTATTTATGATCAAATCACTTTTGTGGTTACTTTCAGGCTCACCAAGCAGCGCCCAGAGCTTGTCAGGTCTGCTATGTAGCCCCTTTTTCATTCATTCAGTCATTCAATTAAGACTGAATTGTAGGGGTCTCTCCTTCCCCTCCACACCTGGCCTCCCACCCTTCCTTGAATTACAAACCAGGCTCTTTCCTGGCAGGTACAGGAAAAGCTGGCCTCTCCCACTTACCTGCTCATGGGCCACTCCCATTGGGGTTCTGCACGGAGCCCTACAGAAGGCAAGGCTGGGCCTGCTCCTGCAGTCAGCACCCTGTGGTGGGAGAGGCCCAGCATCCCCTGAGGTGCAGCCCTGGATGGGGAAGGGGGTGTAGCTGGATTGCCACTTCCACCCCAACCTGAGGCCCTGGGAGGCATCTCATCACCGGACTCCTTTGTGCCTCCTCTGCTCACACACCTCAGCCCTTCACTATTTCCCTGGGTCACACGCTGGTGACATCCAGAGTGGCTGATGCAAGGTGGGTGCTGGACCAGGTCTTGCAGATGAGAAGTGCAAAGCCGTCCAATGCACTGGGGAGTGAGGCCAGGCAAGCCTGGTCCTGGACTCCAAGATGCCCTGGCAGTCTCTGTCCCCAGCTACTTCTGGAGCCCAGTGGGCACAGACGTCTCTCCCCACTGCTCTTGGGGACTCTCAGGTCCAGCTCCCACTCATCTCTGGGTCTCTCCCACCTGGAACCTGCCCTGCAGGGGGTGTGGCAGCGGAGGTTGTAGCTTCCAGAGCTAAGGACCAGGATGTAGGTTTGCAGCTTCACAGGGAAGGACAAATCACAGGAAGAGGGAAGAGCAGATGTTTGGTAACCAGCTGTCTGCCCTGCCATGCAGCTGAGTCTCAGATTAAAAAAAGTTTCTCTGATCTTTGCTCTCTTTCCGTACCAGGCTCCCCACCTAAATGATTTAATATAATCATTTTATTTTTTGTTTCCCCCTTTATTTTAGAGAGAGGAGGGGAGAGAGAGAGCAAGAAAGAAACATCAACGTGAGAGAGAAACATTGATCAGTTGTCTCCAGTTTAGGGCCCCAGCGGGATATGGAACCCAAAGTTGAACCCACGACCCTTTGGTGCACAGGAGAAAGCTGCAAAGGACTGAGCCACCCCAGCCAGGGCCTTCCCTGAATGCCATGGAGGGAGAGGTGGAAGTTCTCCCCACCCCATGGCTGGGTCTTGATCGCCCTCTGCTCAACATAATCAACACGCGAAAGTGGCACCTTTTGGAGGCGTGCAGACCCGGATACCTCCTCCGCGTGTCTCTGCGGCCAATAAAACCAACACCAAACAGGGTACACGCACTGCAGCGCACGCCAGTTGTCCCCAGGCGGCGCCCTCCAGGGGGACCAGGTTGTGCAAGAGGCCATCCCTCACCCAGCTCCCCTGGCCCTACACCAATTGTTGCCCCCACCCTCACCCTAACCGGCGTGGTCCCCCCGCCCCTCCCACCGAACCGCCCTCCCCTCCCCGCCCCGGCTTGATTCCGCCCGCGTCACCTGAGCCCAAGACTTACCACAGAGGGAGGGCCATGCTCGCAGTTAAAACCCTCGCTCTGCCTTCGCTGCTAATCTCACTCGCAGGCCATTGCTCTGTGCCCGCTGCTCTTCCCTTCTGTGCCTGCTGATCCGCCATGAGCGCTCCCATTCACCTGCTTGGTGCGCCCTCCGAAGTCGAGCCCGCCACGGCCGAGATCCAGGCCATCGCTGACAAGGTAGGCGGCCGGGTCCTCCGGAGCCCGGGTCGGGTCCCGCCCTGTCCGCAGAGGGGCAGCGCCCGCCGGGACGCGGAGGGTATGGACGCTGGGACAGGGACCCTGGGCCTCGGCTTCTAGAGGGAAGGGCCTGGTGTGCTTGTCCTGGGGCGGTTCCGGTCAGTGAAGCTGGGGAAGGGTCTGCAGGGGTCCTAACTTCTGCCCTGCCTTATTCCAGTGCTCCTTGTGCAAGTAAAACAAAAACAGACACCAGGCTGGGATGCAGAGGCCGAGCCTAGTTCAGACCATGGGCAGCGCTTGACTCCTGTGCCTCAGTTTCCTCGTCTGTAAACTGGGCATCACAGGGGGGCCTTCACCAAAGGTTCTGGGGAAGGTGGGATGGTGGGGCCACAGGAAGGCTCAGGTTCTGAGAAGACACAAAGTCAAACAAACCTGCCAATTCCCTAATGCCATGGTCGGCAAACTGCGGCTCAAGAACCACATTGGGCTCGAGAGCCACATTCGGCTCTTTGGCCCCTTGAGTGTGGCTCTTACTAAGCCTTAGGAGTACCCTAATTAAGTTAATAACAATATACCTACCTATATAGTTTAAGTTTAAAAAATTTAGCTCTCAAAAGAAATTTGAATCATTGTACTGTTGATATTTGGCTCTGTTGACTAATGAGATGGTCTAAACTTTAGACCATCTGACCACAGTAAAGGACGGTGAGTCCGTCCCATGAGACTTTGAAAACGAGGAATCTCTAGGGACTGCGTGGTGAGCCAGTTGGGCGAGGTTCCTCTCCAACACGGCTCCGGAGCCCAGCCTCTCCTGAGGTTCCCGGTTCCCAGGCCTAAGGAATTCCTCACTTGCTGTGAATGTGCATCAGCTCAGGAGAGAGGAGTTGCTGTCTGGGGCTCCCTGATGTGGTGCTGGTCACTTGAAAGTGACAAGTAAGGGGGCGGTCACCAGGCCGCTGG